AGATGACTATGGTAGATAATTGCGTGAACTGGTTACTAGGAAACCTGATAATAACTTGATTAGCAAAACTATACAAAATTACTGTAAGAGTGAGTGAGAAATCTTTAGAATTTTATCTACTTCCTCGATAACTTTTTATCGGGTCTTCGCTATATAAATTGATAATGTGTGCACACATTCACATGGAATTAGGAGCGTTGATCCCCTCTTGTTGACGCTCTAGTCAGGTTGTCTGCAACGCTCATCCTCAATACCTTCTTTTTAATTTATCTTTCTCTCTTTTCAGATAATTAACAGTGAGAATGGGAAAGACTTAAATTAAAACACCGTGACAACGTTGTTCAGACTAAAATCAACACGGGACATAGAGAAATTACCACAAAAAAAAATATTTAAATATATGCTTGGATGTTAGTGTATAATGCCTGCCCCTTACAGCTCATCCTCAAATTCTTCAAAATGCGAGATACGAGTCGTGCGGACAAGTCAACCCCATTTTCCACACATTTGAATTTATTTAAAATTTACAATTTAAGAAAATTTTAAGACTCAAATTTTCTCTAAAATAGGAAGGTTCAGCCGTTCAGTCGGCTGAGCTAAGAAAATAAGTACTCTACGTATTTTTTTCTTTCACAAAATTATAATTCATATAATTATTTGGTTTTGTCAAGTCCTTTAGTTTGTACGCTCTCAGGTTACTGCATGAGAAGCCTCTCATAGAATTTCGCTGACGATTGGCAGGAATCGCCGACTTATGGGCGCAGCTAGCTCAAAGAAAGGTAAAACAGAAATTAGAAACTGCGTTCCTAGTTAAAACGTATTTGCACCAAGGTAGCATTAAATTCTCTTGGCCTTATAATAATCAGAATGCATCCGTTAGTGCTTGCATTTATCGGTACTTAAACACTCACGTCGCAACCTAGCTAAAATAGGACAAAGAAGGTTTCTTTCCTTAATCTTCCGCTTGCCACGACACTTCCGTTTATGCTCCAGCACAAATAGCGGGATGTGTCGGGATGTGTGGCAGCTGTAGCCCTGTTTCTGAGGTTCCTCGACTCTCAGGCACGTCCTATCCAAGGCAAGTATCTTGTTAACGCTTTTTGAAATCAGTTGATCATGATGAAATGTTGTCTAGCTAGAAGAACGACTGACAATTTAGAAACAAACAAGCGACGGCACGGCACTTTCCAAAGCAGGAATAGCCTGCGTAGCTGGCGGTATTGTGTGGGTGCGAGATTAAAGTTTTGGCGGCGGAGCCGTCTTCCAAAAAGAGGGAGTAGGGACGAAGCGGTTGTATTTCTCGCGGCTCCTCCGTCAAATCTCACTCGACTTTATTACAACGGCTCCGCCGCCAAATCTCACACGACTACTACACAATACTGCCAGCTAGGCAGGCTAAAGCAGGAAGGGAACGACTTGGGAGACATGGAGGAGTGGAAGGGATTGTAGCTGGTATCTCCATGACAGGAGTATCGGCAGACTGTAGTGCAGTCAAAGAAGGCTGATTTTCTTGCCTAAGGCGTTGGGTTACAGCATCAGCCAAGCGGGAAATTAGATCATTGTTTAATGACGGGGAGGATGTGGACAGGTCATCTGAAGTGACTGCACTCTGAACTGACGCAAAAATAGTAGGTTGACTGGGTTGCTGATTTCGCCGCGGCCGTTTGGAGGTGGCGCCAGTCGTTGCCTCGCCCTAGGGGCGTTTGCGTTGCAGTATAGCCGATGCTCGAGGCATAGTGAACCTAGACAAATAGAGAAACGGCAGACATATGACACAAAAAGGGGGAGGAATGTAATAACATGAACGGTAGACGGCATTTAAGACATAATTATAAAGGAAACAAGGGAGCAAGCCATGTCAGACACAAATCAGTCGACGCAATTGTTGGCAAGTCAAAACAAAACAAAATGGGGCGACCCCGAAGGGCCAACAACCCAAGCATTAACGTGAACAAGGACGAAGGTTAAAACAAACCACACGTCCACTGAGAACAAGAAAGGCAAACGTCCTTCAGCAAACAAGACAAAATGTAAAACAAAAATTGCCATGAGCAAAGGTGAACAAATAAAAACCAGACATCTGCCGTCATCAAGCAAACAGATCATAAGTAGCTTAATGCCGTTAATATAGCACCACGATGACTGCGGTACAACAAGTACTGGCCTTTAGCATGAAGATGGACTCCATCCCTTAAATAAAAGTCTTGGTCTGGTCGCGTAAAGGCCTTGTTGCGCCAATAGAAGACACAATCTAAAGAATCGAGCACAACTTCAAGGTATTGTTGAAGAACCTTGGCGCGCTCCCAGAAATACAGAGGGCGTATCGTAGATTGGCCTCGTGGGATAACGTGGCAAACGCAGACAACCGCCACAGAATAAATAGATTTTAAAGTGACTACAAGGTCCTCGATGGAAGAACCGATAACTTCAGGAGCGACCGAGGGCAGATCATTTGTGCCGACCTCTAAAATACAATATCAGGCATAAGTTGGCGAACTACATGCAAATCATAAGACTTCAATTTGCCAACAGTACGGCCGCCAGTTCCCTGTAAATGAACTTCTGCGGTTCTAACAAGACCAAAGGTCCTGGAGGCCCGGTGATCGAAGTTTTTATCAAGATCATTTTTGAGCCTTTTAACGAACGAATGACTAAGAACGAGGACCTTGGGAATACTACCAGCCATATCTCACAGTAATATAAAGTACCCAAAAAAGGGGAGGAGTCCAAACAAAAACGAAGACAACAATAAAATGGAAGCTACAAAGCAAGAAACAAACAACGTACCTGAAAGACTTCAAAAGTGACAATTGTGAACTGCACTTGTCGGACGTCAAGTCAGAATGGCAGTAGCCTGCGTAGCAGGCGCTTGGAAGTTGTGGGCGAAAGAGAGAACGGGCGCGCGCGTGTCTCCTTCTCGCGCGCCCGTTTTTTCTTGGGCCCATCACTTCCAAGCGCCTGCTACGCAGGCTGGAATGGCAGTGGAGCGATAGCCGAATTGTTGGTTCTCAGTGTCACGCCATTCAAAATAGATCAAAATAAAAATCAAAACCATTCGACAGATAAAGTCCAGAATCTGGGAAATGAAAGGAGGTAAATATACAAATACCCTCGTCAAGATTTGGGTCGAAGGAATAATTTGTATACGAGATATCCAAGGAAATGTTTTACCCAAATCTATAGAGCTTTGTATGGAGACGCCATGCTGGAGCTCATCCGGATGAGCTCCAACATGGCGGACGAAAACCAACAGAAACATCTGTTGCCGAGTTTTGCTACAAAAGCGTGAATTTTCTCCTAGAGGAACTCAAAAACATTAAAGTAATACTTTTTCTAACACTTGAACCGTTTAGATTGCAAAATTCCTCGAAAAAAGTCACTTTTTTAACCTAAATGACGGCTCTCACGGCCGTCATGTAAATGCTGCGTCACGCAAAAGCTTAGAAATTCAAGCGTACTCCATAACAAAACCAAGAACCCTTTTGAAGCGAAATATTTGTTTGAAAATTAGTTTTCAGCTGCTCTAATACACGATGAAAGTAAAATCTCAGTAGGATCGATAGTTTTGTAGTCTTGACTTTTAGTGACGTCATGTGAAAACCAACAATAGGTCTAAAAAACGTGGCCCGCCCTAGTGGCCTCATTGGGCGTTGCCCAGATAAAATGTGCGATAAACTCTATATGGAATAATTATCGTTATCTGAGGTTATACATATGGCATATTCTTACATAAGAGATAAGACGCAACGTGACTTGAAGCTTATGATAGTAAACGTGAATCGGCATGAAACATAAAAATCCTATTTGTGCCAAATATTTAATTTACGTGCTTCACCTTTTTGGCATCAACTCGGTGTAGCAGCACAGGTAGACCACCCTCTGTTAGTGGAAGCCGTTGTTGATTGAAATCTGAGCAACGATCTTTTGTTATTTATAGAAGAAATACATATGAACAATACGATGGCTATAATTTGTTCCAAAATGCAGAATTTAAAGCAAATTTTTCAATAAAAGTTTGAAGAAAATGTTAACTTAGTCATGTGTCATGTTTTTTCGCCGTACCTTGGTGTTTTAAGCCCTATTTTGCGAGATGAATATTTGACCTCGGCGGTTAGAACTAAAGAAGGAGACAAGGCAGGCAGCAATCAGCCGCCGCACGTGACTTGTCTCCTTCTTTAGTTCTAACCGCCGAGGTCAAATATTCATCTCGCAAAATAGGGCTTAAAACATCAAGGGACGGCGAAAAACACATGACACATGACTCATTTAACATTTTCTTCATACTTTTATTGAAAAATTTGCTTTAAATTCAGCATTTTGGAACAAGTTATAGCCACCGTATTGTTCATATGTATTTCTTCTATAAATAACAAAAGATCGTTGCTCAGATTTCAATCAACAACGGCCCCCACTAACAGAGGGTGGTCTGCCTGTGGTAGCAGCAAAGCATTGCCAAGCGAATCAACCACAATTTAGCTGATGCGCAAGGCTTAAAAATCGCACATTCTAATCAACCGTTCATCATTTCCTTCTAGTCGTTATTAGCCGTGTACCAACATACTAAACTCGTGGATAGGACATGGAAAAATTACTATGTTTCGTCCAGATCACAGCTCTTGTTTTTTTAATTTTCATGATGCGAGTTCAAGGGAACATTGGTAAGACTGGACAGTCAGATGAGAGTCAGTGCTTGTACCTCAAACGTAAAAGGACTGCAGTCTTATACACGGTCAAGTCCACTATAGTCCAAGAAGAGGAGAGAATTGAATTAACTATTATTGTTATTGTTATTATTATTATCATTACTATTATTATTATTATTATTATTATTATTATTATCATTATTATTGTTGTTGTTGTTATTATTATTGCTGTGGTTATCAAAAAATGCCTCTCATGAAAACGAGGAACGCTTTTCGTCTCGGATAATAGGTTGAAAGAATATTAAAAGGATTTCTTGATCGTTGCTAAATCACATACATTAGATTAGAATTATTTGAATGATTTCGCCTTTTTTATTAACAGGTCACACGTTTATTTATGGCTGTTCCAATTACACGTTCCATGTGGCATCGAAAGCAAAGCTGGTTAGTTGGGACGAAAGCCGCCAATTGTGCAAGGAATTCGGAAGCGACCTTGTTTCATTGGAAAGCAGCGACGAGTGGACCGCTTTGAAAAATGTGATACAAAGCTTCCCTGCGAGTGAATATTTCATCGGTTTAAAGAGGGACCGAAGTTCCGGACGGTGGTTATGGTTAAGTAACAACAGTTCATTAAACGTGTCTGGGGGAAGAACTCCTTGGTCACCAGGCCAACCCAGTGGTAACGGAGAATGTACTGAAATGTTCAAGAATTATAGCAAGTATTATGGACTGTTTAATGACCTACCCTGTACGAAACGAAGAGGTGGATATATATGCGAGAGGCGTGTTAGTTGTGTGGGCAACACAGGTAAGTGCCAAAACTGTGCAAAATAGCGGCAGATATAATTTCAGTCTTACTATCTTTCAATTGTCTACACTGTACTCCACTTTATTTTTGACGACTTAAAGTGGCGCGTTTAATGACCAATTGGCATAAAAACTATACTGTAGAAAATATCGCAGGTACCAAATAAACCCCTCTAAGGGATTCTTAGTCGTTGGATCGAAGTCCTCTGCCTCTATTCATGTTATACTAGGAATCAATGTGGATTTACTAAAAATTGCTTACATTGCCTTCCATAAATGTTTTACATCGATCTGTTTTTATTTACAGCAATAGATTGGCACCAAAATTTGGCAAAACATATAAAAGAGTCACATCCTAATCCCTCCCTCTAATTCAGATACAGTAAATCCTGTATTAAGCGGACACCCTTTGGGAATGCTGTAGTGTCCGCTTAATACTAATACAGGTTTCGATATATAACGTCATATGAGGTGTCAAATGCCATTCAAATGAACAATGGAAGCGTTTATAATACTCCCAGAGACTATGACGATAGACATTTGCATTAATTTCTTTATCAAAGTGAACTAATTGATCTTAGTACCATAAACATGGATTGCAACTCAAATTTGAAGAAATCAGATGAGTGAAACAAGCTTTATACAAACAAAACGAAATAGAAAACAATCCTGTACTATGAAACTAATCAAATAAGTTCGTCAAGTCACGTTTTTTAATGTAAAAATAAAAAAAATTGTGGGTGGCAATTCGAGGCAATCTTTCGCATTTCCGGTGTCTGACGTGTTGGGTAGTGGAATTTAATTACAAGTATCCGTTTAATACAGGTTGGCAACAATAGAAATGACCATTTCAGGTACTTTTTAGTTGTCCGCGTCCGCTTAATAGAGGTGTCCGCTTAATAAAGGTTTCATTTAAACTAAATAAGGGAAATAAATTTGGGGACTTCGGCTACTGTCCGCTTAATAGAGGGTGTCCACTTAATACAGGTTTCACTGTACCCCTTCCACCATTGTATACCATCCCAGAGGCAAGGCAATTTATTGGCCTTGCTATTTTCGTTAAATTTTCTTTCATGAACAAAGGCTTAGATCAAGATAAAATATATTTATTCGCATAAATGTTGGGTGAGGAAGAATTGTTGGATCTTGTTTACTGTGGGTAATGTCGACAGAGATATCGGAACAAGATCCGAATTGTTTGTCGTCGATCGAATTTTGCTGACATACATTTTTCAGATTCAAGTTCCTGTTGTCCTTGTTCCTCGATCCCCTGTCAAAATGGAGGAGAATGCAAAGATGGGGATGACGGAAGATACAATTGTTTTTGCCGAGGTGGATTCACTGGAGAGAACTGTCAGGATGGTTAGTCATAATTTAAATTTTCTAACGAGCTCTAACATGGACATAACGTGCCATCCAACTGTACTCACAATGCGGCTGCCGGTGGAGCTCATAGCAAGCAGACACACATTTAATTTACTCTCATAAGGACATGTTTTGAGCGGACGTAGTGGTTAGCACTGTGAGTTTAAGTCGACTAAAGAATCAGTAATGTGTTAGAAAACAGGTGCTGCTTTGGTCTGAAAACAGAAACACACTGATCGCCATCAGCACTTGACCTCAAACAAACACAAAATCCGTTTACCACAAACTATTTAAACTGTTTTAACACCTCCAATCTCACAGCAAAACAATAGCATCATTATACACTACTACAAATACAAAAATAAAATAAAGGACCCCGGCAAAGAATTAAACAAGGAACAGGAAAGTATTGGTAGAAAATTTTGCACATGCATAGTCGCTCCTCTTAAGTGTATTTTCTTTGATTGATTTGTTAGTCTTTGATCCTTGTTACTCGAATCCTTGTCAAAACGGAGGAAACTGCAACAATAGTGGCAACGGAACATATGGTTGTTCATGCAGGAGCCCATTCATTGGAAAACACTGTCAAGAAAGTAAGTGCAAACCACTTTACATAAAACGGGTTGTTAGAATGATTACTGCCTCACTGGTGTTCACGCCTATAGCTTGTCACATGAACCAAGTTTGATACACTGGACATTAGCAACCAACTCATTAGGAGCGCTTAGCAAAGCCTAAGAACGTCTGCAAGGGAGGTTACTCCTGTAAAGGCAACTAGTAGGATTTTGCTAGCTAGCTAGTGTCACTGACAAAAAAAAATCTCATTTCAAGCATATATATATTCGTTCACAAATCCCCTGAAGCTGGTCTAACTTGGCTTGAAATAAACATTTCTCCAATGAAGTACCTCTGATGCGTGTGCAGAGAGAGAAGCAGTGGCGATCTCATGGGGGTGAATACAGGGGAGGACTCTTTGGCATTTATGTGAAAAATGTTGAAGGGCTACGTTAATATAATGGTGATAAATAACATGGAGAATGTGCGATAGCTTCTATTTAATATTTGTCAGTTAGGTTATAAGAAAAAATTTAAAAATGGTGTATTTTTTCTAAATTTTTCAGTCTTTAATTCCCGTTTAAAATTTCATGATATCCATTCGTTTCAATCAGGTTTTTTATGTTTTCACTCAAGAACTCTACACTCCCTTCCAAATTCAATAACCTATTCCCAATAAACGGTCAAATCCATAATTATAATACTAGGAATGCCCACTCATTTCGCTTGCCACATGAATGAATGACTGAATGAATGAACGAACGAACAAACGAACGAACGAACGAATGAATGGATGCATGCATGCATGCATGCATGCATGAATGAATGAATGAATGAATGAATGCATGCATGCATGAATGCATGCATGAATGAATGAATGAATGAATGAATTCCTGAAATCCTTGTCAAAATGGAGGACACTGCCTTAAAAATGGCGACGGAACATACATCTGTTCGTGCAACAGGCCATACACGGGAGAAAACTACCAGGAAAGATAGTATAAAATAGCTATGCTTTGTACTTAGAAAGCCTTTTCAGCCGTGACTTATGATTTCCTAATACCAAGCCTCGCGCGTTGAGATGGGAAAAGAAAAAAAGATATAATAAAGATATGCTGATATACCTATTATAGGGGCCAGGTGACGATAGAAGATTAAAAAAAGACCAGCATGACTCCCGGAATGTATTTATAAATAAGAGGGTCCAATGGATCTATATCACTCATTTGCAAAGGGGGATTGAAGATTATATTTGCTGGGAAACAAATCAAACAAATTACAAACAGAATTTAATGATAAAAGGTTTCAGTTTCCCCTTGAATTCACGTTTCTGGAAAAAAGCAAGCCACCTACAACGATAAATAAAAATAAAAAGTCAAAACTGATTTGTACCCACTGACGCGTCTCTCCCCTTTCCTTATGACGAGTATAGAGATGAATACGTGTAAAACTGATAAGATGTAAATTTTTGTTTATAGTTTTACAGTAAGGAAAATACCTAATCAGTTAGTTAAAGTGAGTCTTGACTAGGATTTGAATTTTCTAATTTAATTTTTGGCAGAGGTGGACCCTTGCTCCTCGGATCCTTGTCAAAACGGAGGATACTGCCGTGATAATCGCGACGGAACACACAGCTGTTTGTGCAACATTCCATACACGGGAGACAACTGCCAGGAAAGTTAGTATCACGCATTTGTAAAATTGTAAAAGGTTTATGATCACTTTCAACACAGGTTTCTATTTTCCTAGCTTCTGCTTAATGGTTGGTTCAAAAATGCTTACGTATACGCTTCTGAGCTCATGCAGAATGATGTAATGTCTACAAGCAGGGTGGAATGTCTAAGAACTCTGTCCAAGAAGGTCACTTGGCCAGCAGTGACACGAGGCCTTACCTATAAATTTTAGGCTAAAGGCGAATGCAACGACTAAAATTCAAACTAGCATCACTCGCCTTTTCACTTTTCAGAAAAGGGGCAACGGAGCCGTGAATACAATCGTCGTAACTCACGACAAACCTTATCAACAAATTTACAATGCGAAGAAAATCAGTAGAAATAGATAGTATGGCTTCATGGCAGTAGCTACTACTTATCCCTTATATTATTAGTAAAAGTGCTTTGAGTTTATTTCTGTTGACACTGTTTTCCAGTATTAAACCCTTGCTCCCCAAATCCTTGTCAAAATGGAGGATACTGCCGTAATAATAGCGATGGAACATACAACTGTTCATGCAACAGACCATACACGGGAATGGAGTTTTTACGTAGCCTACGATTCTGCGAAACTGCCTATCTTTCCCCTCCCTACTCCCCCCTCCCCATATTTAGTGGTCCCTTTTGGAAGGTGGTAACTTACGAGAATCGAACGCAGGGGTCTCTTTTGAACATGGGTCCCGACATATCTACTCTTTGCAGAGAATTTATGGCAAGCAATTTCTAAGTTACGTATACTTTTTGTAAGTTAGATTTAATAATAGTTAGTTTAGTTTAAGTTTATTTTACTGACTTTTTTCAGTCTTTGATCCTTGCTCTTCAAATCCTTGTCAAAATGGAGGACTTTGTTTTAATAATGGCGACGGAAGGTACAGCTGTTCATGCAACAGTCCATATAAGGGAAAAAACTGCCAGGAAAGTTAGTAACAACTTCAAAACTTTGTATTTAGTCTTTTTAGTGAATGACTCAGTTATTGATAAAAACTTATCCTTTATACACTTACGTAGGTAAGGCACTAATGATTGTCATGTAAATGACAGGATTTATTTACAACCGTTTGTCTCAAGAATAAGACATTGATCGCTAAGGTTTGAGCATTTGCACATTTATTTGTATCAGCTGCTCTTATTCTTTAAAGACAAAATCATTGAATCCTTTTGCCAAGAATTGTAATTTTCGGATTTAATTTTTGTCAGAGTTGGATCCTTGCTCCTCTAATCCTTGTCAAAATGGAGGATTCTGTCGTGATAGAGGCAATGGAACATATGGCTGCTCATGCAAAGGTCCATACACCGGAGAAAACTGTCAGGAAAGTTAGTATCTTGAATGAGATTTTAGAATGTTCTCCCACTGCACAGGTCGATATTTGGAAAAACCCACGCCTTCACTCCTAGCTTAGTACATTCTTAGGGAACGTTCCTTCAACTGGGCTAATGATAGACGTTTATTTTAAACCTTCATACATGTGCAGAATTAAAGATAAAGGAATCAGTGGAAAGCTCAATAAGTACATGTATATAAGTAATAAAGTTCTATATATTATTATATAGGCCAGTTTGCCAGCTGTGGCCGCACTAAAAGTACTTATGGACGCTTGTGCCTATGCAATGCCCATTTTACGTTTCTGTTATTCATAGTTGACTTTATTCTTGTCTCTACGTCTCCGTTCCGAGAAATTAGGGAGCTTTAGCATTGACGACGGCAACGGCAGCGAAAACTTCAGTTTTAAAATGAATTCCCGTTTTTTCAATCTTAGTCGCGTTTATATTCCAATTTGCTGAAAATGGCAAGTGTAGGCGAATTTCCCTGCAGTTGATTTCTTTAGGACCGCACTCAAGTTTAGAGAGAGAAAAAGAGATTCGTCGTCGCTTGTTTACGTCCTCCACAAAATTTGCACTTAGGTATTTTCACGTCGTAGTCGTGCAAGGACGGTAAAGAAATGTCCAAAAAAGCGTGATGCACGTGCCACGTTGTTGTTTTGCTAATATAAACCTATTGCTTTTTTGACGTCACTCGTTGCCGTCGCCGTCGTCGTTGCTAAAGCTCCCTAATATGGGAAGGGGAAGGGGGAGCGGGCTGCATTTGTCAGTTAGATTATCAGAAACGTTAATTTGAGTTTATAATTTGTACTGACTTTTTCAGTCTTTGAGCCTTGCTCCTCAAATCCTTGTCAAAATGGAGGTGACTGCCGTAATAATGGCGATGGAACATACAACTGTTCTTGCAAGAGTCCATACACGGGACAAAACTGCCAGGAAAGTTAGTATGAAATATCAATACGTCAGGTATTTTGTCTCTTCAGTACCCGACTCGGTCCTGGCTTACAATCTGTTAGGGCTTAAAGTTTGTTAGCTAAAGTATATTCATATACTTAAGTCTGGCCCCTTACAACTGATTGTCACTGGTCCTCTGAATTCACGAATTTAAATTCGTTACTGATCGCCACGTTTTGAGTACAAGTTTGCCTCTAGTCTTACTTTTTAGCCAGAAGGTGATTGAATGGTATGTCGACTAATTTTGGGAATTTATTTTTGCCAGAGCTGGATCCTTGTTCCTCTAATCCTTGTAAAAATCACGGATTCTGTCGTGATAATGGAAACAGAACATTTGCCTGTTCATGCAAGAGTCCCTATAGGGGCTTCAATTGTCTCTTTTTATAAAGCCTGCAGCCTTAACGCCTAAATGACGATTTATAATTCATATTTTAAAACTTTTTCAATAAGGCCAGTAAAAACGTTATGAAACAAATATGTTTGATTTTACAGGGAGTGGTAATAGGGCAATGGCTAATACTTCGTCAGTTTTACTAGCTAGTCTCGGCAAAGAGAAACAATACATACTCCCTTCACCCCTGTTTTTATGACAGAAAGAGAGGGGATAAAGGGAGAGAGATCAGAGGGACACTTTCTCTGCTATTGCACAAAATACTTAAAACTTAGAAATGAACTTTTCGCACAAAAGCAAAGTCTTACAAGTAAGGGTTTTCTAAAACTTAACACAGTAGAAATCACGGATAAAAAACGACGTTTCGACCGATCTTCGGTTATTTTCAAGTAGGTAAAAAAGGTGAAAGAATTAGCATATATATGTGTCTAGGGTGTAAAAATATGTTAAGAACTATAAAAAGTTTTTGAAAATGCATACATAAAGCATACAGAAAAAAAACAACAACTGTTACAATAGAATCTAATTAAAAGAGCGATTTAAAAACTCCATAGTCATCTCCAAAATTTTTAGCAGCTATTTTACTCGGAACTGGTGATTAAACTGCTATTGAACTCCGAAGATATTTATCTTAATTTACGACTGACGAATTATATCTTATTACTTAACAATTTGTGTGACGTGACAGTGGACTGTCATGTAAAATGTCACTTGACTCTGAACTGTTATTATAATAATATGATATCATAATTATTATTATTTCTTTTTTTTCGTTCTTATTTCACGTATCTTGCAATAATCTAAATAATTATAGTCATGTAATTTAAGGTTGTTTTTGTTGTTGCTGTTGTTGTCTAGACGTTTATAACCATGCATGAAGACTGATCTAAAATTTAAAAACAATAATATATATTAATCGTTTCATTTTTCATACCTGGTACTATCCTCAGATATTCATTGACAAAGCTCTGTCTCCTCATATCAATCATTCTCAGCGTACAGACTCATGCTTTTTTTAGCTTTTATGTTAAACTGAGATTTTCCTAAACACCTTCAAAGAAATGACTATACAGCAATTTTTTTAAAAAACAATACTGCTCAGTAAAATTTAATGTCGCTGATTTGGGCCTATTTTCAGTCATAAAGCCTTGCTTGTCCAACCCTTGTCAAAATGGAGGGAGCTGCAATGACAACAGTGATGGGACTTACATCTGTACATGCCAGAATGGATTCACTGGAGACATGTGCCAAAAACGTTAGCGTTAGCATCCGGCCATTTCTTTCAACGATTTTAAACAAGCATATAATGAACAAAAACAAACAAGCTAACAAAAAGCTAACTCGATTGAATGTGATTGCTTTTGTCGACTTTTTTCTTTTCCATCCATCTGGCCGGTATCACTACTAAAATACCTTGTGTCTGTTTGTTGAATTAAGGAGTTTAGTCGTAATAATGGGTTTGTTGAAGTTGTAAAATGAGGCAAAGACTGGACAAGAAGAGCTACATACTGCCCTTTTAAGGCCTTGGCCGCCATAGTCTTTTTCACAATTTGTATTAATTTTAGGCCTACTGGTCGTATTGCGGGAGTTTCCATGCGTACGATACTGATCAATTCAAGAATATCTGAAGCATTTTCGTGTGTAGTTAATATGTAATTGTTCCTGTATAATTTTCATGCCCTTAAAAGCCCAGGAGATAAAGATATGAAATTATCTAGCCATTATTTGTTAGAACAACCTGTGGACTTTGTCTCATTTATTCAAGGATAAGAATGGGTCTCAGAACATCAGAAAAAATCAGAAGATCTTCATGTTAAGGAGAAAGTTACTATTGCAAGTTTAAATAGAAGCTTTTTTTTTTTTAATTATTAGGGGACTGCCGCTCGCAACCATGTGAAAATGGAGGAACATGTGTGGAGTTAGGCGATACGACAATTTGTCAATGCTCCTCTGGATTCACTGGAAGTATTTGCCAAGGAAGTGAGTGCGTAAATCTTTTTCATCCCGTTCTAGAGGAATGAACCAACTTTTACTTACGCCCTTGAGAATTCAAGGGCACTTCAAACGACTCAAGCTAGGCCTTCCAGCCTCGTCAAATTATACAGAACTTAAGGGATGGTAAAAGAGTTAGATATGGCTATTTAATGATAAGTAAAGATATCTGACGGTTTCTTTTTCTGGCTGTGTAATGACAACACATTCGTCCGCCGAAACAACGTGGAACTAGAAAGGGGTTTAGACAGTTACTTCTTTCTTGTTAACATTTGTTAGAAAAGTTTGATCAGTTCCGATTTCTCTTTGAATTCGAATTACAAAAAGGAAAACTGAATTTTTGCTAGTATGGAATTCTTTCTGAAAACATCAGTCAACTGAACAATTGTTTAGATTGCCGTGAATACTCTTAAAATTATTGCGGTCAGAAGATGATTATGTCCCCAGTCATATAAGGTTGTTTTGCTCATCATCTTAGTCTCTCTTCGTAATCTTTATTTTAATACTTACTTTGTTTTATGTTACAGTCGACTCAGGATAACTCGAACCTTCAAGGGAAAGCTAAAAAGGTTCGAGTTGGCGGGAGTTCGAGTTATTGGGAGTTCGACGCAAATGACCGGAAATAAGAATGGGATGGGGAATGAATTCAAGTAACAGGCGCCCTTCAAAACTTCATAAATACACAGTACTGGCCACTGTATTTAAACTGGAAAACAAAAAAGTAAAGAAAAAGAATGCATGGTTGTTAAAATGATCAATGTTTCGGGCTGTAGTGCACTTTTTTTCGACTTGTCAGGCGCTTAAAGCATGGTTCGAGTTATCGAGGGTTAATTAATACAGAAATGATCTGAAGGGAAACAAAGATTACTTCGAGTTAGCAGGAGGTTCAAGTCATCGAGTGTTCGAGTTACCGAGAGTACAATTATAGTGAATGAATGAAGGAAATCCAGGGGAAACCGATTTTGGCTGCGCTAGGGTTCCAGTTATCGGGAGTGGCCTGTAGTTTACCGTAAAATTCCGAAAATAAGCCCAGGGGCTTATATTTTTCAAAGGCCCTTTTTGAACGGCTTATTTTTGGAGAGGCTTATATTCGGAGGGAAATTTGTGTTTCAAAACCGATTGGGCTAGCCTTATAGTTGGAAGTAAATTTACCGTTTTTGCTTTGTATTACTTTGTATTTAAGGGCAATTTTCCAAGTACAAGCCCACGGGAAGCTTATATTTGGAGGGGTGATTTAACGGAGGGTTTTTTGCGTTACCGGTTTGGGGGACTTATATTTGGAGGAGCTCATTTTCGGAATTTTACGGTATTCTATTCATGGTATTGTATATTGCTGTTTAGTCCATCTATTAGAACCTCGTATTGTAAATATGTCTTTCCTTTCCCTGCCTCTATTAGTTCCTAGGCTATTTGCTGGTGGGAAAATTATGTCATTAGTTATAATGTTGAATTTCAATAAAATTTGTTGTTTGTTGTCCTTCTAGCTGAAGGTATGTGAAGTAAAAAATGATTAGCTAATTGCATGCTCTTCCATCCGTAGAGAAGTTAGCTTAACTTTTTTTCATTGAACTCGAATCATATCCGATATTTAAACGTTTTACTGTAGACATGTAGAGGGCCTTAGTAAGGTTATGAGGCTTGGTAATATTTTGTTTTAACAATTTGTAGGCTGATTTTCATTAGTTTTGCTTGTCGGTGTTGTCTTTTAATTTCTTCAGAGACTCCATTTATTACCCGGAATCCTAGAGATGCAATACGTATGGAAGGTGGAAAGGTTACGTTTTGCTGCGAGGCTGAAGGATCACCAGCTCCCACATATTCATGGTACATCAAAAATGAACCAGCCCATGATATGATATCATGCACCGCAGGTACCCCAAGCTCACGAGTGAGAATCCTTGTTGCGTAACGGAAATATCACAAGGGATTTTAGCGGTCGTTATTTAGGGGTCAAAAATAGTAATGAAAATATATCAAAATTTCTTACCCTGAGTCCTTGTTTAAATTTATATGGTGTGTTCGCGATTCCAGCGAGTTTTAGTTCTCTTACGCAAACAACCATTCTCACTCGAGAGCTTTCAGTTGTTGGCCGGTACTTGTGGTTACAAATGGGTTAATTCATTTTAGACCTCAATCATTATACTAACATTTTGACTTTCCAAGTTTAATTCATGTTAATCTGTCAATTGTAAAATAAAAGAAGGTTGTGAATGATTATCATGCGTTAGCTAGCGCCAGCTATAAAGAAGAGAATTAATGATGTTTGCTAAGCCTTGGAATATCCCAGGAAAAGACTGTCTACTTACAAGTGAGGTCGTTTACATTTCTCTGTACTCTTAGTGGGACAGACTAGACTTGAGGGATTGAACGTAAATTGCACTCTCTTAGTAGTGCCAGACCAGTAAACACAAGCACATATACTAGTGCAGGGTCCTAACATGGTATATCCGGGCCTTGTAATGAACGAACCATTTGAAACCAAAGTACGCACGAAATCGACCAGGAAACAATTAAAAATCCCTCTATTATAACGAGGTTATTTATTGCAGGCTCCATGACAATGTACCAATGGCAAATAAGGTGTCCAAGACTCTACGTTTGACAAGCTTATCGACCGCTGATGATGGCTTATACAAATGTCGAGCGACAAACAGATACGGAAAAGTGGTGTCAAGCGAAGCGACGCTGACAGTGATTGCTGGTAAGAAAAAGGAAGGTTTTAGTTTAGTTAAGCAGTGTACGAGAAAAAATTAGTCGAGACCCGCCTTTTTCATTTCGTGGTGCTTTTCTTTTCTTTTCTTTCTTTCTTATTTTTTTTTTTTTTTTACAACTGCTTCCAAGTTTTAAAATTCAACAATTACAAATTACCGTAAATGCTCGAATTAGCGCCCTGGCGCTTCTTTAATTTTCTAAGGCGAGAGGGGGGCGCTAATTCGAAGGGGAGCGCTTATTTGAAGGGGGGCGCTTATTTCGTTTATCAATTTTTAGCCTCAAAATGACACTATCTTTACCGAAAATGGCCTCGTAATTCCAGGAACTTTTAAGGCAGTAACAAGGAGCCGGCGATTGGGAGCAAAGTTTTACGAGGAACTTAATAAAGTGAAGCAGCTATGTGCTCACATGGATATTTCTATCAAGGAAATGAGAAGCAAACCAGTGCGACTTTGAAAGGACGTTACTGTTTATACTATTTAACAATGTCACATTTCATTAAGAGAACCGTATAGACCGTATACGTCTCGTATATCTTACCGAGTACCACAACTCATTTTTTCTCGGGGGAGGGGGGGCGCTTATTTGAAGGGGGCGCTTATTACAAATTTTGAGCCTTAGGAGGGGCGCTAATTCGAAGCGGGGTGCTTATTTGAAGCTGGGCGCTAATTCGAGCATTTATGGTACATAATTATTCTCCAGATAATACAACACTCTTATCGTGATTTCTGCTAGCCTGAATCGATCGTTCATTTTTTTTGTATTTGGATTAAATTTACCAACTGAACACTTTGTTTTCATGTCAAAGTGCCAGAATACAAGTTAACTATTTCTAAAAAGGCTCTTTAATTAAAGTTGAATACAGTCGAACCTGTATTAAGCGTTCACCCTCTATTAAGCGGTCAGTTTCCAAAGTGTCGAAAATTACTTCCCATGATGTACTGTAATTTCGACCTCTATTAATAACCGGTCACATCTATGAAGCGGTCGCGGTCACCATTTGCGAAGTCCTAACGGGACTTTTTCTATTGTCTTGACATGTATTAAACGGTCACACGATGTCAATTACTTGTTCATACAGTTTCAAATAATGTAGCACACGAGGTACAACAATTGATTTCCTTGTTTATTTTCGCAAAATCATTAAAAAGCCGGAAATGAATGTTTCTACTTGAGGTCAAACGTCTGATCTGATCAGCACTGGAGATCGAATTCTTTGAACTGTGTTGCTTACAACCTGTATTAGGCGGTCACCCTGTAAGCCATTCTCCGAGGGTGACCACTTAATACAGGTTCGACTGTAGCAGTTGGCACTAGATGTTTCCTATTCATATACTGTGCCTTTCATGCTCTGGATTCTGGCTGCCTTCCACATGATGGACAAACATAAACCAGCGATAAACAACCATAAAACTTACTGGGAATAGCAATGTCGTCCTGATGTACGTGTGCTGTTCTCGGAGTGGATCACTTAACTCCATCTATGAAGCAGTGGGGTTTCTCAATAAATCGATCTTTTTTAACCGAATAAGACTAAATTTTCACCGCTCTCCCTTGCCCAACCACAAAAACGTTTATTCCATTGCTTTTTAATTCTATTCTGTAAGATGCAATTTACCTTTAAATCCTAGGTAGCGGGGATGATTCATGTGATCCTAATCCTCTTAGAAAAGAGGTCACTTTGCCCCCTGGTTGTACTGAAGATGGCAGTGGAAGTAACATAGTCGATGTTGGTACTTGTTCTTATGACAAGTGCGTTAGGCGAGGCCAGGGAGACTCTGGAAAATGCGGAAGAAGAAGTGCCAAGCTCAAGCGTTGTTGTAGCCCTGTTTCCCCGCTAATGAAAAGCCAAGTCAGTTGCCCTAATGGTATAAAATTCAACGTTGAAAAAGTAAGAGGTTGTGAGTGCTCTTCGTGTGCTGTGCCAGACATAGTGGTTCGTGGCAGAGTAATCAATGAAGAAGGTGAAGCGCTGATGTTGGGTGAAATCGAAGTTATAGGAGACAAGAAAAAGTACTATACAGACATGGCTGGAAATTTTCGATTTACCGTTGAGGCTGGTTCCAGGAGACTGGTTTTGAATATAACAGACCCCTACGGATACTTACAAGACACCACTAAGGCGTTTGAATTACATGAAGAACAAATTTCATTCTACACCATCGTGCTCCAGAATAAACCATCGCCAATAAAATTTGCAGCCGCCCAGAAAAAGAAAATACCTTTGAGTGCCCCAACAAAACCTGCTTTCGCTGCTGTTGACATTCCAGAGAGAGCTTTTGTTACCGCTGATGGGAAGGTGTACGACGGGGAGATTACAGCTAACGTGGGAGTGGTTGATCCTAGAAATGAGGCAGACATGGCTGCAGCTCCAGGAGATTTTTCTACAACAGATGACGATGGAGAGGAGGTTATGCTAGCTTCAGCGGGGATGCTAAGGCAGTCCTTCTCTGACAGCGGTGGCAATAAGCTGAACCTTGACCGAAACATAAGTGTTCGCATCGATGTTGAAAAGTTAGATCTACCCGATGGCCTTCCTGTATATCAATATTATCTGAACAAAGAAACAGGTCTCTGGGTGAAGTTTGGAGTTCTTAGAACTGAAGAGGAAGATGTTGTAGAGTACGTTGGGCGGACGAAGAGGTAACGTAGAAGGAAGTTCTTTGTCAGCGAAATCACGCCAAATGTACCTTATGACACAATAAACTGGGATTCCCCGATTGTTGCCAGTTATGTGAGAGTGGTTGCCCCAGCTGGAGCGGTGGTGACTCGCATTGGCCAAAGCAGCAATGGCCAATCGTTTACCTCCTATCGCCAGGAAACCGTTCCTGCTAGTGGAATCTTGTGCATTCGGAGTCTGCGAAATTGGCCAGCAGTCATTCAAGCTGAACTTTACGCAGCCCCTTTGATACCGCAACAACCCAGAAACTTTCCTCTTGCGGTGAATCCGCGGATTATTTCAAGAAATCCCTCAAGTCATCCTATTCAGTCATTTCAGTTTACCTCTACTATTGCAGGTTCCAGTGGTCCAGTGTATGGAATGGGACAGGAAAGTCGGTGTCAGCAGCGCAAAGCAGTTGATTTTGCGTTCAAATTCCAGGAAGCTATATCTAGTCCAGCAGCAAGTTTTAACTGGGAAAGTAGCCGAGAAAAACACCCTAGAAACCCTCGAGTCTGGCAGGTTCTGGGTTCTGATATCTGCTTCATCAAAGCCATTGTTAATGGATCCAGTTCTGAATCAGTCATCTATGTTAAAAGCGTTGGCAAAGCACGCCGTGGAGAAGTGAGAAACGGTCAAGAGGTGCTGGATTATGGCTACGTAGCGGAGAAGACAACAAGGGTTGGTGGTAAGGGCGTGGTGTGTTTGGAGTACCGATGCAATCAAGGTCTATCCCCTTACCAAACCCATTTGCAGTTCATAGCGCTGACGGGCAGATGCAAAATTCAACGTCTGAGTCCTCATTTGGAGAAGACAAGATGTAAAGTACAACCAGACGCTGATACTGACACAGAACAAAACTTGTGTGTACCAGACTTAAATGGTAACGACGCTGGTCTTTACAAAGGTAAAAAGGAGGCAAAAGAGGCAAAAGCAAGGTGTCTAACTGGGAACAATAATTACCGTATAGGAAATGGTGAACTTAGAACTACAAAAGCAAACCCTGCTGTTGAACTATATTGCACTAGGTGAGTATGCATTATCATAAAAGGGGCAGTATCATAAAGGAAGAATCAGAGAGAGTTTTCATCCTAGGACTCTGTCTAACAACATCATCATTGGTCGGCTGAAACTCAGTATTCGATACAAGGCGTCACACTTTCCGATCAGCTAATAGACTAGCAAGCTCTTCCATAGATTCTTCTTCCGTGTCTGCCATTAGAATGTGAGGCAAAGTCTTGAATTGCGTAACTTTCTGTAGATTACGGAAAGCACGCTCAATAATGAATGGAATCGTTTGATCTGCAAGAAATTTATTAAATGGTGGAGTGCCGACGAACGTAGGAAAATCTTATTAATGCTATTTTTATGCAATGTCCATTTACCCATTTTAGAGAATAACTTCTCAGGATAGGCCATAAAGTATAATTTCTTTCAGCGGAGACTCGACCCTTGCGTACTGTATTTACTCGAGTAAGCGTCGTATTTTGGACTCTCCTGAATAATACGGCGGCCCTGATGCAATCAAAAAAGATAAGACTTTTCCGTTAGTTAATGAAAATAATAATACTTGTAAGTTTAAAGAAACAATTCTATGCAGCGTCCAACTTTCCTATCTCGAGTAAGTGCCTCAATTGCTTAATTAGATAAGCGCTTATTCGAGTGAGAGTGGTATTAAAAAAGTGAACCGAACTGAAGTGTGTTAACAGGAAAACTGAACAGCCCGGTCTCTGTTATGGGCTAGCCCATACTCAATTCAAACGTGCTGAGTGTAAGTGGCTACGCGAGTTTTACGTCAGCGTTAACAGGGCTTAATTTTAGCCGGCACGATAATGAATTTCGAAGCAGTTGTACCTTAAGTTAGCCGCATCAATTATTCTATATCTCTTCATTACTTATAATAATCGTTTTTTTTCTTTTTTCCTTTTCAGCTAAAACATCTGCATGTCGACATCGAATGATTGGAAGTTTTGCCGGAACTGAAAATTGCATTAGTACAATTAACCTGCTTCAATTAGCATTGATGATGCTTTTTTTTTAAAAGAAAAATCCAGTTTTATATACTTTGTGCTTTAAAAATTATATAAAGAGTTATAGTATAAGCGAATAAAAATAATACGTATAAAAAGTTGCCTAAGTTCGTATTTGATTCAATGAACACCCACCGGACTGTTCCCCTCCGCGCCCCTCTTTGTTAATTTTGTTTCGGCAGAATCTCACCTTTGAGATAACACGAAACAAAGTTAAATGGTTTCTTGAAAGACCGGTCATTCACTGATTTGTCATATAGACCCACTAAGAGGTATTACTACGTGTACACTCTTATCAAAGTCAACTTCAACGCTCGCGGGTACAGTGTTGTGTTAACCTCTGAAGTCGACATGAATTTTGCTGTCTGGTTCACTCAGAGATATTTTGTTAGGAAACAGTTTTATTGTTAGATGTCAGATGTGATCTTGAACTATGACCATTGTGAGCGCGCGATGTTGGGGGAAAAATCCAGCTGTATAGCGAGAGCGATTATTTTGCTCTGTTGTATTCTAATAAACAACAAAAACATAGTTGAAATCACAAGTCGTACATCTATAAACAAAGCAGCTCTTGCTTTCATTTGACGCCATCCGAGAAATAGAAGTCGTTACATGGGACGATTCGCAACGACGAAATTTAGCGCAACCTAGCGTCGCCATGTTGAAACACGGTTGTAACAATTCAATTCAATTCAATTCTTTATTTCAAACTATATAAGATATTTACATGAGTGTACGTAGGTAGCTGAGGAAAATGAAGTAGCTGACAAATAATAATTAACTAAAAGACATTAAGTTCATTTGTGTACAGTGTCCAAAGTAGCAAGAGCTTTCTTGTTGGACACCGTCATGTTCAAATAATCGGCAGCAGTAAAGAGAGGAATAAAATCTCAGATAATAAACAATTATTGGATGAGGTTTTTGTGATATCCGGAATAATCAAGGTTTCGGTAAGTGTTATCAGCCGAAGCCGAAGGCTGAGGCTGATAACACTAACCGAGACCTTGATCATTCCGGATATCACAAAAACCGAATCTAATAATTGTTTTATTATACTTTATCTTCAAGTAATTTCTCAATTTCTTGCTGGGTCGATGAAGCGAATCGAAAAGCCATTCTTACTTCGCTGTCCGCGAACTTGACATTGCTGTCCGTGCACTTGACATAGCTCTTGGAAATCATGCATTGTGCGCGCAACCTACAGATTATTCACTAATCTGTAGGTACAGATTAGTGAATAGTCTGATTCAAAAACTGCTGTTTAATTAACTCACCTGGCAAGACTCAATTTATTTCAATTTGTTGCTCGTTAAATTCTCGTGCTTTAACCTCTCCGGCAGCTTGGTTCGGCTATTCATGATGTTAGGAACATATCACACACCTGGATTCGAAAGTTATTCGTTAACTGAATAATATTCAAGAATTATCCTAAATAATATAAAAATATATATGGTAATGATTTATATAACTGCAAACGAAAAAACCGCGAAAACAGGTTGTCTTCTTTTGCCTAATATAGTTAACTCGATTACCCGAGATGAAGAGGTCCGAAGGAGATTCAGTACATAAAGAAACGTAAGTGGATCAGGATCATCTTAAAATTGTTCAGTTTTACCGCGAAAAAATGAATCTACAGCCTCTTCACAGCGCCCTTAGAAGCTTTAATGTACAGGACGGCGCCAGAATGTCGGGGGTTTATGAAATTTGCAGGAATAATGAGGTGAATTTGTTTTATCAGGTAGTAAAAGTCGGCCAAAGGGACTGCATGGGGCTACGTTCACACGGCGCAGGAAGAATTTTCAACCGATCAAAAATTCGTGCGGTCAGGTGTTTGGTTCACACCGGAACCAAGCTAACCCGTACAAAAACTTTGAACGGCTAGATGTTCAAAAATTGAATGCTAAAATCGAGGTCAAAATTTTAATCACGGCTTGTCGAAAATTAAACCGGCGCAATGTGAACACCATGACCGACAAAATTTTGTAGGACAAATACGACCAGAGTGGTGTGAGCGCCATAAAGGTGCATTTCAATGGATGCGTAGTAACTCAGCTGGGAGATATCATTTTGGATTTTCTAAGGAGTAACCTTATTTACGCATGAGTAAATGGTAAACCCTCTTCTGAAAAGTTAAAATTCAACCTGGTTTGTCAGTTTCGAGAGTGAGCAGAGCAAAAATATTGAGTGGTTCCGGTGCCATTTGAATGTAGCCTAGATCTTTAAAATGAACCAGGAGCCCGTGACTCTTGCTTTCAACTGGATGTCAACTCTAGTCTCAAAAGTTCTCGGCTCAGGTGTCACAATTGACAATATAGGTGGAAAAGGTTTGGAACGAGATAGATCCAAAATGGCAATTGAAAATTTCAAATACTATTACACTAAATTTCATGTCGTCGTTTGCAACTAAATATTAACAGTGTTGCTTATCTTAGAAGATCATCTACATTGGTGGAAATCCCTACTTCAGTAACATCCGATACTGTCTAAACGCTCATTTTAGCGGGAATGATGGACTTCCCATCGGCAGATATTTGAGTAGTCCAGGAAAACGACGGTGGAGAAATATCTCAGTGCGGTGGCTTACTTGTCTGAACCCACCTGAAATCGTGTATTATTTATTAGAAGATTATCAAATCAGGCACGGACGTTTACCAATTTACAATAATGCTCCTAACCCAGACGCGAGGGACTGGAACTCAGACTGAATACCTTCGTTGATGGAAGACCAAAGTTTATCAGTTTACTTAGATTTTTTAAAAGCTCTGTAGCTTAAAACTTTCATGCTCCTATCTATTAACCGGAGGAGATCGGTTACTGCCCAGTCTTGTTGTCTATGTTTTGTCTTTTACTGCATTTTACTAAGGAGATCTCCTATTTTTATTTTATTTTTTCAAAGAAAAGGCGCTAGAGAAAATCCCCAAAAAACACGTTAGTATCCTAAAAGTCATAGAATCTTTAAAGCTTCATTCGAAAGTTTGAACTTCAGGAGAAAGGGGATATAATGGTATTACTTAAGCGTTACTGATTTACAATGCTGATATGAAGAATACAATGAACACCAGTATCTTCACAGCAATAAATATTAACTGCTTACGACATTGTTTATTAAAGTCTTTATCTCACCGTGTGATTGCCAAGGTGGAGATGAGTTTAGAAAACCACCGGCTCCATGAAAAGACCAAACAGGCTTCTAGTAGAGATAATTATATCATCATGTCTTTGCGTCGGTTTTACAGAGTATAAGAATTTAATAATATTCTAAATTGGCTTCTTAAGTAGAGAGATTCATATCATTATGTATATTAGGATTGTATTAGGTCTCGCACCGCCCTTTTTTTACTTCTAAGTGTAGCTTCTCAAGTGGTGTAGGTTATGTTATGCGCCCTATACTACTCATAATGTGGACAGCATTCCAAAGTTTTATACCGCGAGATAATAATAATAATAATAATAATAATAATAATAATAATAATAATAATAATAATATCATTGATGTCCTTGGGGACTTGGGCTCAATATTGCCCGGACTTTTAAAGTTGTGACGTGAGAGACGATTGACTGTTATCGAATGCTTTTTTTTTTATCTTGTCTAAGGCAAAGTTTGGATTCGTTTCTCTTTTATGATAATACGAAGCGCAAATGGAGAACGATTGAATTGTAATTTTTTTAGGGTGTATACATCATCTAATCCCTTGACACCTACTTCAATAAGAATTTCAAATCCAGCATCCTTGATTGAATACTCCAGTTTAAAATCAACTTTCAATGAAATAAGCCGCTGTGTAATCTTTCTTTCTCGCAGGCTCAAAAGTAACGAGAATTCCCTTTTCGGGCGCCACTTTACGAACTTTTTCCTTCGTTACGTTGTATTAGCAACGGAGGAACTACCATAACTCTAGTTTCAGCCCATCATTATAGATATGAAGAAAATGTTAGCGTTCACCGGAGGAAAGTAGACGTTTGGACCTCCTCACAAGCGGAAGTGATGGATCGGTACGTACGGGTGAAGAAAATCGGCGAAGGGTCATTTGGAAAAGCGTTATTAGTGAAAAAGAAGAGCGATGGAAAACACTCAGTTGCTGGGCCAAGTAGAGAAATAAAGAGCGATCAGTCATAAATCATATTTGTGCGCTTTTTTAAATTGTTATTTCCTTTCCGTGCAGCTTTCCTGTGGTACAAAGAGGAGCATACAGCAAAAGAGATAGATACTCGTTCTTAATTGACTTTCAGTCTGGGTATTTTCCCAGTTATCTTTTTTTTTTTTTGTTAACTCAGCCTGAACGTTCTACTAAAAAAAGGTTCTTATAAAAACGAGTGTACTCCCTGACTAAATTGGACGTTCCAATTTGCACACTATACATTATCATCTATTTTTTTTATAGGAGTTAAAAGCTAAGCCGTGTTATGTTTTTGTAAGCCAAGGGGAAAGGCTCATCCTATTTGATTGACGTATATCGGTGATTCACTAGCAGTAGTGAGAGACGCGTAGACTCTTTCGCTTGGTGTCTGAAAAATTAATGGAGGAAAAAATTAGGTACAAAAGGAAATGTTAAAAATGAAGTGTAGTTTATGTAATAATAACAGATGAAGCAATAATAAAAAGCAGTTAAAGGGTAGACATATGTCAGCTAACGCCAAAGAAACACACCGGCCGGCTGTCATACCGCTACCCAGTTAGTATGCGGTGAATTATTCGCGACTTGCATTCAGACCGGCGGGATTTTTGAGGTACTCAAAACTTTGGAGTTGAATGTAATTTGGGTTCTGCCAATAACTTTAACAATATAACCTAATGACGGCATCATGCACCATATACATTATTGTCTCAATCAAACTCTACCTTAATGTTTAAAAGGCCGAGCACATTATTATGAACGGGTCTGAGGTTAAAAAGGGAGGGCTTCCGAAGCTCCCCCGCCCCCACATTACCGGCAGCAGGACCAGAAGTAAGAAAAAAAGCTCAGTTCGAGTAGGGTTAAATGCTATAACAATTAAATGAATGATGACCATGTCGTCTAACTCAGAAAAGATATAACGATAACCCTAAAAGACCCTTCGTCTTTATGCTGCGTATTGTCGTTTACGTTGTAAATTCTCGGCACAAGAAACTGGACTTACCATTGTACACTGACTCAACATGGTGTATTCGCAATCCGTCCGGCGAGGCTGTCGTGTGGTTGCTTCAAATTCATGTCTTCCATCTCCGTTTTCACCTGACATCCTGCTGGACTCTATGGTATACTGTGTTGCACTCAAAGAGCTGCCCTGATTTTCAAGCTGAATCCTGAACGTAAAATGCAGCATTTTAGTCCATGGAATTTCTCGATAATAAATCTTCTTAACAGAGTATAGTGAAACTATACAGATAAATTTGTTTGTAAACAATTTTTTCTCAAAATGACGACAGAGAGAGTGCAGTAAGCCCACTTTTATAAATCAACAACGCAATATGATTATTGACCAGTTCTTTGCCTACCTTTCGGCAACTTCACTACTTGAATCTACAGGAAAGAAAAAAAAAACAGGGATATCTGCATGGTATTCCGCAAAAGAGGAGCAAACATTGTGGTCAAAACCCCCCGGGGACCCCATAATATACAAGATATGAATTGATGCAAGATTTCAAGTTATTTCAAGAGTTAAACCGGTTATTCATAAACCGTTTTAACTGTAAATAGCTGTTGATAATAGTGTAGCCTTATAAACGAATTTCGGTGGTCTTAGTTTTTTTATTTTTATGTATATATTTTTTATGGCTTAATTCAGACCACTCATTTATTTAACCGTCAGACGTACAAGACAAGTTCATTGATGGTCAGTAGCTATGGTTACGAGATATGACGTCATAAGTAGAGGGTGGTCAAGCCATTTTTGGGTGAAAATACATATTTGTTCAACTTCTTCCAACAATAAAAGTAAATCTTGGCGCTAAAATCATGCAAAGTGCTTATTTATGTGTTATTTTTCATGTAAAGCACAAAATAATGTCATTTCTCGCGGTTTTAACCTGGGGTCAATTTAATAAAACTTTTACATCAAGTGTAATTTACAAGTGTAGCCATTGTTTTGAGCTACAACACTTGGAAATTACACTTGTAGAAGTCTTATTAAATTGACCCCTGATTTCTAATTCTTGGTAAAATCCAAGATGGCGACCATCGTTGCTAACGTCACAGGCTTCCAGCAGCGCCACCACCCATGAAATATACCTCTCATCTTGTTAAAAACATCAAAAGCTTTCCACTTAAAAGGTAAAATCGTTTCGAAATACTGCAAGATATCAAAAACTCCGGGCAGGGGTTCCATCCACCACCCCCACCCCCTTCCCCCCACCGTAGGGGTATGAATTTGCGTGTAAGTCCGAGAGTTAAGAGGTCTCCATCAAATCCAAAAGATAAATGTCTATCTTTGTCTTGGAAAAAAGACATTTTTTTAAGTCTTCTGACGCAATTAAGTGTACAACTGGAGCCTGAGTAGAGGGATTTAATGTAGGGCTGAGAAAAGATTTCGAGACCTTCAACTATGAATCTGGAATTCGGCGACTATTTACAAGTAAGGAGATATTAAGGTAATAAAAATTTAGGAAAAAAGTTCAGTTATGAAACACAACACATTGAGACTGTTTATTTCGAGATGGAAAAATGTGGTGGAGAGATGTCATTGTTTAGCTTAGCCTATAAACAGAATAAATGTTATGAGAAGAGCATTTGTACCTTTGGAACTATGCTGCCTTCTTCGCCTTAGCAAAACCAAAAGGGCAAATGTAAGTGCAATCAGTGCGATGAATAGAGCTGTTCCTAATGACGCTGCTACAATGACAAGCGTGGACATCGAGTCTTTTTTGGCAGTTTTTCGCTCACTCAAACTCGACGGACTGGCCAAAGTCGTAAAATCTGTCGAAAGAGAAGAACAGAATAGTCAATGTCTGAGTAGTTGGTTGGTTTCTACGGTTTATATTTACAGCATTAGACCTCATAATAGAAAACTGTGATCACCCCATGAGTGCGTCAGAGACTTGATTTAAGAGTTTCGTTCGGATTTTAGAGTTAAGGTTTGAGAGCAATGTACACTACCGACCTTCGTCGGCACATTGAAATGTTTTCAGATTAACTTAGGTGAATTGAATTATAGTAATTATTTGTTCTATTTATTTAGTTGTTTTATCTATGAAGTTGTTTATCTATCCATCCATCCATTCATCCATCTATCTATTTTGTTTTATTATTATAATTGTTATTTTTTTCCACGGGAGGCTTTTGCCAGGTAGTTGGAAGTAAGTGTTTAGGAATCTTGGACAGACATGCAACGAATTGAACGTATAAAAGATTCTAAGATATATATAACCGTGCAAACCTGAAGAAAAATAAGTAGGATCTGCTATGCTGAAACTTGTCCTTTCTTTCGTACTGGAAGCGGTTACTCGTGGTGTTACTATCGTTGTTACCGACGGATAATGACGCATACAAACCCCTTGACAGGCGTCTGGCGTTAAAAAAAAGACGGAAGAAAAAAGAAAGAAAGAAAGAGAGAGAGAGAGAAAGAAAAAAAGGAGGTCATTTGGTCAGTTACGCATTCCCATCGAGGAATGGATGGTATATGGAAATTGTGTTAGGCGTGGGGCGTGATTCTTGCAAATGTATTATTAAGTGACAGGACTGATACTGATTGTACTAAAAATGTCTGTCTGTCAAAAAGTCTGAAAATTGCTTTTAAACCTGAAAAGATTTATTGCGGACATATGCCCACCTGCTTCTATGAAGGTAATGCTTTGGGCACTGTATTCAGTGTGTATTGGGAAAGTGTGCACTATGAGGCGATTGTTTGGTGGTCACTCTCTATAAAGCAAATCATTGCAGTTAGTTCTGCATGCCCAAATTATTAACAAATGTCCATTGCCCAATTGCCAATGATCCATTGCCAAAGCAACTCTCAGTCGATCAGTCAGTCATATAGTCGGCAGGAACACAGACAGCCAGACAGACAGACAAGCAAACAAGACCCACATTTTATTTGATTAGTTAGACAGACAGTTTGTCATATAATTAAGTCTGTAGCGTCCACTCATAGCTACTTGAAACTGTACTTTAATCAGTTGTTCACTTGCTAGTTCGTTTCTAATCTGCACATAACCTGACATAACTTGTATTCGTTCCATTCACAAATTGCACGTGAAAGAGAAAGATTCGCTGAAATAACAACAACGCGACTATTACAAAGATGATATTGACCGAATAACCGAAAATACTGCATACTTACAAGTTATTGTGCCTTCTCAATGGAAAGGAAACTTGTCCTAACGAAACGACAGTATAACTCCATAACAAAACATGTGCTTTTTCGTGGGAAAGAGCGCCCGCGATACTTTGTGTGCGGTCACCGAAGACTACACTATATAACGTTTATTTTCTGTCTCTTACAAAGTCAGTCACCCTTCAGTAAGGTTAGCCAGTTTTTGTTGTTGTTGTTGTTGTTTTTTTGCTTAACAGTTACGCAATAAATCATCGATCAGACTATTGGCCCGTGCAGAAGCACTCAACCAGTAAATAAAGATAATGTTCTCTTTACCCCTACTCACCCGAGCCTGGTGGTGGGAAAGTTGACCTTTTACCTTATCATCACGTATCGCTTTTTTTTTAATGCATTACTTATAGATCAGCGAAGCTGACTCGAACGCAACAATCTAAAAATAAAAATAAAAATTATATTTACAGCTGTTTCCTCCTCGCATATCCACGCTCTTTTTATGTTGCCTTTGATGCCATCAAATTTCCCATAAGAACCTCTAGGCCATTCTTTAGCAATGAGAGCGTAGTAACTGTTTCTACTAGGTTCAGAATCCCGCCATTTCATTATAGTCAGCGGTTTACCGTTGACCCATGTCCAGTTACTAACTGTTCTATCCCAAAACAATCCTATGTGCCACTCATTTTTTCTTGTTGTCCGATTCTTGAGCTCGTTCGTGATAAACTGCCACTCTCTCTCTGTTTCTATGGCCACGAGATTTTTTTTGTTATATTTACAAGAAGCCCTTGCCGTGGGCCACGTCATTGGTCGATCACTTTCAAAAGTGTAACAAGAACAAGCTTTCTCGCCATCTGGCTTAACTGAAAGAAAAACAATGCAATTAATTAATTAATTAAGCCACGCAAAGCTCGATTGCGGGCTAACCTTACCTTGATTAGCTTTGATTCCTATTGAACCACCATGGATTAAAATCTCTATATGATGTGCTAAGATGGGTTATTATTTCCTGCGCTTTCTGTTTAAAAAGTTTGCCGGCAATGGAAGAAAATAGCAAGGACAATTCTCTAACATAATTGGAATTAAACTCAACCACCCAAGCGAAGCTTCTTTGTGAAAAGCAATGAAATTGAGTAGCGAGCGTAGAGTCGCTGCGAGTGTCGCTTATTTGCGAATGGCCTAAGGCTAGAGATAAAAAGCATTGGGTTGGTCTGATGGAACAGACAATACGAACAATATTATTTAATCAATTAATTAATTTACTTCATTAATTAATATTAATATTAATAATTAAAATTCATAATTAATACTAATAATTAACATTAATGTTAATTAATTAATTGATTTACTTACTTTTACTTTAGAGTGGTTAGGTTTCAATTTCAATTAACCAAGGAGAAAAAATGATCAGCTCTAATTTAAATGAAGAACACTTTTCTTATAATATTAATACTTAGAAATGATCTGATAGAGCATAGAGTGGAGACGAGTAAACGTTAACAAACTGTAAAATTGGGAATTAATATGAAGAGCTGTATGTATACTGTAGTTTGTAAAGTCTATAATAATGTGTAACCGGGGCGGATCCAGGATTTTTTTTAGGAAGAGGTGCACTCGTCTCTTGCTCTACTTCAACACCAATAAACCACATAGTTACCAGAATACCAGTTATATTAGTAAACCGCAGGTCATCTCAGGAGGCGGTGCGCACCCCCTGCACCCTCCCCCTAGATCCGCGCCTGTGTAAGCCACTTTGGTTTATGAAATCAATCATTTGAACTTTAATGAGAGGTCACTGCTAGAATTTCCTTCAGTAACTTGAATGTTTGAAGCTATAAATTTCAAGTTAATGGCAACTTGTTACGAACCTGAAGTGAGCTATGTTATAATTAAAAATAATTAGAAAGTTTTATCCCATTTGCTACAACCCAAGCAAACTCGTTTACACCTTGGAATTCACATTTGCTACTTGAGAAAACATGCTCAATTTTATGGGTTTGATGACACTTGCTAATCAAATCAAAGTCAGAATTTGATTACATTTGTTACCTGAGCGAAAAGGTTTACAATAGTAACAGTTTGATTAGATTTGCTGCCCAAGCAACTTTGTTCAAACCTTGGCTTTAAACCACATTTGCCGCTACAAGCAAAATTTTGTGTTTGATCAAATTTGCATACCCTAGAAAATTTGCTTAAAGTTTAGGTTTGCTAACATTTGCTTCCTGAGCAAACATGTTTAATACAAAGAGTTTGGTTACATTTGCTATGCAAAGCGATCTGGTTCAGTTATGAAAATTTGATCACTTATGATAACCCAAGCAAACATTGTTCAAATTACATACTTCGCTCACATTTGCAAAGGTGCGTAAACGTTCTAAAAATAACAGGTTTACATACTTTTACATCTAAAGCAAAAAATGTGCAAAACAACAGGTTTGCGCTAACATTTGCATAATGTGCAAATATAGTTCAAAGAAACATGTTTGCCTACTATACACATTTGAACCATTTGCAAATGACCCTCAAATCCATGGCTGCCCTTTATCTTTGGACCAAGAAGTAAATGTTATGGGGTGTTACTAAACAGAGTAACGAAGTAACGAGTAACGAGTAACGGAGTAACGAGAAAACGAGTAACGGGATAAAAATCCAAGAGGTTTAAAAGATAAATAAATAAATCCTGATGAAAGAAAAAACATAAAAATGGTTGTAATATCCTAATAATGATCTTTACCAATCTCGAAAAACAACGACGTCAACCCCCCACCCCTCCCTCCAGCAAAGTCGAAGGTAATTTCGCGCCGAAAAAGTCACCTTCCCCTATCCCTGAAAACAATAGGTAGTACAGGTTACACGAACCAATGAAATAAGAGGTTTGGATGGATGTAGGTCAAATGGTTATTTTCTCACACCTACGAGGAGACCGAGGAGCGACAACCATGCATGGAGGAAGGTGAGGTACACATTTTCTTTCTGATTGTCACAATTATTTTATTTCTTAGAAGAAAAAGCTCTGTCAGGTAAATCAAAATAATAGAACGTTGTTGGGCCCTTATTGCGGTTACCAACTAACCAATTAAAAGTACTCGATTGCCAAGGCTTAGGGCCTCCTTACATGGAGTGGGGGACCCCGGTCTAGTGGGGTTGGTTTCTTTTGTTTTCACGCTCCGGGGGACACAAAACAAAAGAAACCTACCCCACTAGGCCGGGGTCCTCCACTCCATGTAAACAGGGTCTTAGAAACAGTATGCTCCTTTATTACTCCCGGGGTTATTACCTTTCCTGCTCAACTTTCAATGTCTAGCTAATGTCTAGTCTTTTAACTCCTCTCGAAAATACGGGATTCGACTTAATACTACCTTCCAAAAGTTAATTATAGTGAACTTTTCTACCGGTTTAAAAGGAATTATAAATCATGTTTAAAAATAACCTCCCGATGTAAACAATCTGAAATTCGAATATTGACGGCAAATAGAGTGCAGAGCGAGACTAGTTTTGAGATCGATTTTCAATTAAAGTAAAGTAAAGAAACATTCAAATGGATTGGTTTGCTCGAAGTTACGTTTAACATCAATCAATGCAGACTACACCGAAACATTGTTACTGCCAGGGCATTAAGATCCACTTGGCTACTTAACATTTCAAAGTGGTAGCCAATTCTATAAGTCGAATAAGTCCTGAGTCCTCAGAAAAAAAAGATAAGCGAAACAAACAAGAAGAAATAGAACAAACAAGGAGAAAACGGCCGGTTTACTAGATGCTATTTTAGAGCTGAGATCCTCCAAATTGACAAGTTTTGAACCCAAATGATTCTAGCAGGTAATCAAAGTAAGCAAAGAGGACCCCTACACATCTACTTGGCGTTCGCCAGCAACAGAGTTTCCTAGTGAAATATGTGCCATTTTGCATGATTGTCATACAGACATTGGTGCTTGTATTAGCTGCAATTTCACGCCCTGATAACAAGCAATTACATGGACTCATTGTGACCCAAATTTTAATTTGTTAAGCCTGGGCTTAATGGATGGCAGGCAGTTACGCCTCTGTCACCGCTGAATTCTGTTAAGGGTTTCCGCTTCTGGTCACGCTTCGGCAAACTTTAAAAATAAATATTGGTGTGTTATATGAAACGCCTGAGCTAAGATAACAACAACTAATAGTATTTTGAAATCGTAGAAGAGCCCTCGTTTCCACTTCTGTGTTCTCCCACTTATGATCCCCTCGGGAAAGGAATGGTCGTGTGTTCTTCTAGACTTGCTTTGACGATCAATCTCTTATATTAGCACCTAAGAGCTGAAGTGGCACTTGCAGACGGTCTTTACAATCCTGCGACTACGAAGAGGGACCTGCATTTGGCATAAGAAGTACTTTCCTTAATCTTCTTACAAAATTTAATTAATCCATTGGTTATAACAATCGTTCGCACTGAAACCTTGAAACCTTGGGTAGTCCCATGCCTTGTCTAAAAAAGAATGCCTCGCAAAAACTTTCTTTTCTTCATGATCTCAATAAGCACAACGTATACCGCGGGATCAAACTATAAACCATACGGAAATCAATGTTACTGATGCAGATGGCGATGTTGGTACTTATGCTACTAGTGATCTGGGTACTACTCATTTCAGTTGTACATATTCAATGATTTGTGACAATTGTTCAGAAATTAGGCACTTTTAAAATAGTCTTCCTGATCCCGGGCTTTAGGAAATAACCTTTTAGGGTGAACGATAGACGGAACGTTTTGTTACTCTATCTGCTGGATAGGCATACTCAATTGCAAATAACAGCCTTAGCCAGGTGACTTTTTCGGCGCGAAAATACCTTCGACTTTGCTGGAGAGAGGGGTAGGGGGGTTGACGTCGTTGTTTTAAGCGCTTTTTTGGAATACACATATTTTTCGAGCTTGGTAAAGGTCATTATTAGGATATTACAGCCATTTTTTTATGTTTTTCTTTCATTAGGATTCATTTATTTATTTTTTTAACCTCTTGAATTTTTATCCCGTTACTCGTTTTCTCGTTACTCCGTTACTCGTTACTCGTTACTGCGTTACTCTGTTTAGTAACACCCAATGTTATGCAAATGTGGCATTTACCGTCTTTGCTACGGATAGCAAATCTAGTGCAATACCAGTCTTTGCTCTTGCGCAAATTTGAGCAAAATTGTGCAAATGTGGTACTTGCTACTGGCACATTTCCTGTAATTTGGCTACCCAGGCTAGTAAATCCATTTTTTCGTCCAGTAGGAAAAAGGAAAATTACATTAAAGTTGTTGAACTCAAAGTCATAAAAACTATTTTAACTTACCTGTCATTGGAGTTTTTGTTAGACCCAAGTTTGTAGCTGGTGCAGTTTTAGTAACAGTTGAACAGTTTGCTGTTTTCAGAACATCTGAAAAGGTATGACGAAACAAGAAAATGAAATAGGACGTAAGAATTAAAAATGCTTCGTTGAAATAATATAATATTAATTCTACAAAGACACTATATATGATATTAGTTTGTCCTTGGAACTCCTCAGTATTGTTCTGTTTTCAACGTTGTGTTTAAATCATGATATGTAGTGGTTTGCTATACTCCAATAATAATATACTCCAGTATCACTGATTTGTTATTTCAGATATCTTTTTCATCTTGGCAAAATATGACACAAAGTTGATAATAGAATAGAATGAAATAATTGTTTCTTATATTTAGACTATTTAAGTTGCGGTATAGAAATGCAAACTGTACCACAACGGCTGTCACGACACTTAATAAAACCATAACAGAGTATTTTAGCAATCAAAACCACATGGCATGGTACTCACGTTCACATATATAGCCATGCCTTTTAAAGAAACAGTGCAAATCATCGAACAAACCATAATTCTGTTCAAAATCTTTGTACATTATTGCACACTTTGTAACGTTTTGTTCATCCTCACTAGGTTGGCCTTCTGCCCAATAGGATTCATCCACTGTGCTGTTATTACTGATCCACCTCCATCTTCCGTGTTTGTCTTTGGTTAAACCAATATAGTATTCAGTTCCATTCTGTGGAAATTTGTTTACAGTGTCTTTCAGAAAATTCCACTCCTCGTTACTTTCAATAGACACAAGGTCACTTCGGTGAACTTTGCAGGCGTCTCTGCTCTTATCAAAATCAACTGACTTCTGAGATGCAGCATAAAATGTGTACCGAGAACAGCCGTAAAGAAGCGTCAGGTCTTGAGAGAAAAACAAATTATTTCACGTTAAAGTAATTGATATAACAATAAAACATTATCTTGAAAGATTTGTTCTTGTTTTTGTTTTTCATGATAACGATGTATTCTTCGGATGGATTTCACGTTCGGTAGGCTGTGGTATATCAATTATCAGTTCTATCATATCGTGTTTACGTCCATGTTACTTTTCTAATTACCGACCACAATTCTTTGTGTTTGTAAACTGGAATGTGTAGCACAGGTCCAGCTACATGTACTCCTTCGCGTGCGATGCGCCTTGACCCTAAAAACGGCTGCGAAGGAGAATAAAAGCTACGTGAGCTAATTGAGCTTCTCGTAATACTGATCGAGGGTATACGTTGTATCGGGGATCAATTACATGTTGGAATTGTACTTAATGATGGGGAAGACGATTTGAAGTTATTCGTTATGACGATGAGGTGAAATCGTTGAGAGAGGCCTGGTTGTTCTATCTGGGTGCCAGTGTACAAAACTATTGGGGACGAAAAAACGGCTTTTCTTTGTTTTTACAAAGAGTCAAAAAATAATCCCAAGTTGCACTGTAACTTAAAAGAGTCTTAAAAGATAGGAATTAATTGCTGCTGAAGTGAGAAGAAACGGAGTTGGAGCTCACCCAATGATTTGGCCATTTCGGGTCCATTTTACACAGAAACAGTAACGAAATTTACAGACAAGCTTCATGAACGTGAAGTGCGGGGCTCTTGGTTTGCTCACAAACTCTATTGCTTTTTAGTTTCGCTTGCCTAAGCAGCTAGCGACACTCATAGTCTGCAAGCCGTTTTTTTTCTTTGTATTTAGTTCACAAAACGACGGTTGTGGTCCCAGGCGTTCTTAGCGGAGACCGTGGAAACTGGGAATAAGAATCGTTGCCTGACCGAAGCTTAGGAGAGAAAGAAAGAAAGAAAGAAAGATTAGGTTTAGAGCTTTTCCAGAAAGGTTCTGTCCACGAATTCTGTCGCTTGAAAGCGTTGATTACTTTGGGACAAGTGAACACTTCGGTGGTCGAAAAAAAAAAAGACAAGAATCTTAATTAGGAAAATTAAAGACTAACTGGTCGGGTGTTGTAAACTTTCAATGTATGCAAATTAGTCTTGTGATGAGCATGCAGTTTATTTTCGGTGATGATTGAAATGACGCGCCATGTTCTTATCACGTTTTTCTATCTTTGTTGATGATGTAATTTCTCTCGAATCAAGGCCCTTGAATTTTCGGGTAACTATACACTAGCCTGCGTTACAGCCGGCCTACGCACACGTTTCAACCATTTGTATAGTCTGTCTGCGAATTAGTGCGCTAAAGCTCGTTCTAATATCCTGCAGAGTCGCAAGGACATATGTGACTGAGCGTTTCTGATAGGCGGGTTTCTTATGCGCCTCACGATTGGCCTAATTCTTACGTGTGCGTGACGGTTGGGCGCAGTGACATATCAAAATTCACAGAACGGAGTTGGCAAGGATCGACAAACAGTAAACAATGAAAGAGCAGTTCGAACTTTAAAGCCTACTTCTGAACAAAAAAAGCTTTGATAGAATCCCTTCAAGGCCAGAATTTGCTTGTAAAATTTGCCGACTGGTTTTCCAGCGTGTTCCAATCGCTGCAGATGCACTGCCACGTATTCTGCAATCTAGCCTACAGTTCTAGCGTCAAAACAAATTAGGAAATCATGATATTCACAGCCAAAAAAAATGCAGACATGTAGCTATTCAGGTCCAGGCATTTCGGAGAAAACCAAAGAAACTAAGGTTATTTAGACGCAATAAAAAAGCTTAAGGCTTAAAAAGGTAAAAGAAAATCATTTAATGGTAAACTGCTCATGTGATCAAATCCTATCAGAAAACATCTGCAGAAATATAAACCACGAGAACTAATTACTCACTATGCCGCACGGAACAGACCGGCTTTATAACCTCTAAGTGTGAGACTCAAAGCGGCAAAACAAAATTTGCTCAGTGAAAGTGTAGAATACTCCATGCACTACGTAAACTACGCAGAAAGAGAGCAAGAAAAACCTCTGTTGTTCAAGCCGACTCTAAAGTCACGTTTCACACTATCACGAGCTCAATCTCTCTTGTCACGAGCTATTAGTCGTGTTTGGCTTGTCAACACTTAATTCAAATCGGACTAATCACAATGCAAACTGCGTAAGAAACTAGCCAATCAAAAACGACGAGATATGTCGTTGCGACTCTGCGGGATTCGAACACGATATTGTGCACTAATTCGCAGACGCTCTATATACAGAAGGTTTAGAGCATTAGAGCATGGATAATAGAAAGACCAGTCTTTCTATTATCCATGTTTAGAGCGTCTGCGACGCTTGACTACGAGCAGTCTCGCGCGCGCGTGTACTCCTCTTACTAAATCTGAAGAAAGAGAGAGACTGTTCGCAGTCTACTACGACGTAGGCAACTATACACGTGTATAGCCTGCGACTGCAGACCTAATTCCGGTCGTCGCTAACACGCGTACTAAATCAATTCAGAAACATTCCGTCTAATACGACATAAAAAGTAAATATCCTGAAATACTCGACCGTCGATAAAATAAAGTAGGAGGTGAGAGACCTTTAGCGAGTAAATCCTGTATCGTGTAGAATTAATCACCTCCTTATTTCTTATCTAGTCTCCAAGCAAGCGAGATGAGACCCGATTTTAAGAGCGTTCTTGTTTGATTTAATTCATTTCTTGCTGTCGCCGTTCCAGTAAGGTTTTGAATGTCTGAATAATCTGTTAAAAAAGAATACACCGCCAACGACGATTAAGAACCCTATTTATACCAAACTTACTGCAAATTATATACTCCTGCGTCACTATAACCGAACTAAGAGCTGCTTTGACTTGATTTGTGCGTGTTAAGCTTTTAATAACCACGTCAGAGTAACAAAAGCTTTTATGGCAGAAAATTACAGCAACGTGTGTTAGGAGTGAGGAGCTAAATTTTGAAATTATTTGAATTCTGTAGACTCCATAATTTTGGGGCCTGATATCGATAACCAAAAGACATAAGCAGATTTTGGTATTGTGGAATTGTTTTAGTTATACTGAAATATTAATTTTCACCACAGCTATGAAGATTTAATCTCACGTATCTTTCGTCCGGTGACCAAGGCCTAGCAAAAGGTATTACAAAATGAAATAAAGCTGCGTAAATATTCTGAAAAAAGAAAGCTAATAGTAATTATAAAATAAGAACATAAAAGGCTGTCTTACTCATGATACGAGCACTGCCCGGCACTTGTAGACAAAAGACTGTAAATATAAACCCTGAGATCGAGGACAAACGTTCTTTCGCCATAAGTCAACATCGAAAGTAAAATAGCCACGCTACCAAGGTGTCCGTCTCAATATTTTAAGGTAGTGCCTCAGCTCTTGACATTAATGTTGTTTACTCAGACCTGACATGTCACGCAAAGCCGTTTTTCAGGGCACGTAACCTTGGGTTCATGCAATTTCAGCGCTGAAACCATGAAGGAAGTTTTACAATTGTCGGAGCTAAAGAGAACCATATCCACAGTCTAGTAAAACCAAAAAGTTATTTTGAACTCAATCTAATCTTAAAGCAAACCAGGACGTTGATGCCAAAAAAGAAAAAAGGAAACTGTTTTCAATTGGCTCCTCCTATAATATGGTGCTGAAGTTAGTCTTGTGACATTTGTTAGAAGCGCTATTTTCCCATAACCATCGGTGACAAAGCAAGAAAAGAAGGCGGTCGACAAGCACACACGGACGGAAGCTAGTGCTTTTTCAGTATTTGCCATTATTCCTATAGTAGACTTTGAAATAAAAAATGACCAAGTAAGCAAGCCTTGTAAGTACCTTCGTCGATAGATAGATCTTAGCCAATAATTTATGGAACACATTTGACGCGAAAGAGCTAAAGGAAATACTTCAATACCTAACGCGATTCCCAAGGTATTATTATACACAAATAGGGTTAGTCTGCTGGTACTTGCTTTTCGCGGAATTAGAAATTCAAGGTGGTGAGGTGATGGCTAGTGAAAAAGTGCGTCTTTCCATTGTTAACTCTCTGCGCGCTTCTTTAGTTCTTACTTCCTTTCCTTTCCAGGCCAGTCGCCCAAAGTAGACTGTACAGAAGAGAGATAGGTTATGATGTTCTTAATATGCTCTTAAATTCTCATTTATCTCTGCCTAAACGGTCAAAAAGGGTCCTTATTAAAAATATAGGTAATTCTACCAAATTGCACCGTATAAATTGCATACAATAAATTCATTTCTTGTTGAAACGTTAACAAAAGCTCAACAATGGTTATTATTTATTTATTCATTCCAATAGGGTTAAAAGCGATCTAAGCCCCAAAACATCAGTTGTTGTGAAAACCAGGATGAAATCCTTGATTGACATATATCCGTGATTGATTGCAGGGTCTACTGTGGTTACTATTTACTGATTCACAAGCTGTAAGGGACGAGTAGACTCTTTCACTTTGTGTCTGGAATAAATGAAAGAAAGAATTAGTTAGAAAAGGAAACTAAAAGAATAAATAATTACCAGATTAATAGTCATGCTGTCAGACGCCAGCCCCGAAGCTCAACGTTCGTCTCTATAAGCTTAAATACTGTAACCATTTCAAAATGATTAAAAAGTATATAGTGTAACTGAGAAAAGATACAATGATAAGTAACCCTAGGAGCGTCCTCTTCTTCTTCTTTAAATCACAGTTATTCAAGGCAGCGTTCACAATTGCTGCCAGCATGGTACTCGTTGAGGATAAATGTGAAACTTTTTTTCAAGTACCCGGGCCAAAATTCGGGCACGGTGCCCGTTCCCGAGTGCATACTGTACTCTGGCACTAATTAAGTGGGCACCAAGTCCCTGTATAAACGTCGTTTTTGATGGCTCCAGGGTTATCCACTGTTTTTACTCCCATGCTAAGCTTAAGTTTCAAAATGGCGTCTAACAGAGCGAAATGGAGTAAAATTGCACTGTTACATATCGGGTACTCAAGGTGTGAACACAGCACTATTTTGTGCCAATACCCAGGCACTGGTTGTAGGGCATCAAATATCGACACCCTCTAAGTTGTAAATCCTTCACATAAGAAGTTGGACTTACCATTGTGCACTGATTCAACATTGTGTATCCACAATCCGTCCTGCGAGGATGTTGTGTTGTGTCGAGGTCGAGTCTTCTATCTCCGTTTTCATCTGACATCCCACTGAGTTGTATGGCCTCTGCACTTTGTGCTGGATTCAAAGAACTGCTCTGATTTTCAAGCTGAATCCTGGATAAAAATGCAGCATTTTATAGCATGAATTCCTTGATAATTAATTTTATTTACAGAGTTTGGGGGAACTATACAGGCAAGTAAAAATCTTTCTTAACAATGACATGGCAATAAAAATGAAGATAGTGCAATGCGTTCATTGTGCAGTCCCTTGCCTACCTTTCAGAACCTTCACCTCTTGCATATACATAAAAGTAGCAAACAGAAATAATTATAAACAACGTGCTAAACTTGATGATACGTTCTCTTTAAGTAACGATGAATAGGATAGTAACTGTAGCGAAGTTCTTTACCTGTATTGGGACATTTTTATCTCAATTTTGACAGGAACGCACTTATATTAATTTCTGTTTTACAGTTATTCTGAGTTTACGTGAGTATTAAAAGTTCTCTCTCATAACCAAACTGCAAACTTATCTTTGTCTTTCTTGCCTTTTCTTTGTAAATTGTCAACAGCACCTATTTAATTATCAAATTGTAACTTGATATAAATTTTGAATTTAACTGAATTATGCTTTTCCTTAATTATTCCACGAACTTGCCTCTAGGTCCGTCTCTGCTCTAAGTTACGCGCCGTAACTTTATAACTAAGATTGCAATAAATCCAAATGCCATAACAAGTACTGCTCCTTCGATAAAGACTGCCATTACCCATGACACTGAATCAGTTTCGTTACCACATCTTCTATCATCAACAGACGTAGATGGTACTGTATGAATTTTGTTACGATCTGTAGAGAAAGAAACAAAACTTGAAAACAAAACAAGCTCTCTAACTATTTAGAGAAAAAACAATATATGAATTAAATGAAAGGAGACAGAAAGGCGGAGGACAGACGGTTGTTTGTTTGTTTGTTTGACTTGATACATCCAGGTTCTTCTTTGCAGATGAACTTGTCGCTGTGCTTATACTATTCTGCGTTATGAGTAGATGGTGTTGTCTGAGCATAATAGTGCATACAAGAATCTTAAAAGGCTTTTAATAAAATATTATCAACGTCTTCGTAATGTGTTTAACGTGGAGTAGTGGTAATGAAACGGCCTGGTGTGCCGAAAGTCCCGAGTTCGAGTTTCTCTCTTTAATTTCTTTCTTTTTCCTTACGTATAGTCTTTTTTTAGTTATATAGTTCTTTTTTAAAATTAAGTTTTTTTAAATTTATAAATTTTCTTCCCTGTTGCTTTATTTGTCCTATTATTTCCCTTTCAACTTCTTGCCGTTCTCCAGAAGTCCTTCGCAAGGATTCTGCGATTCAGGTATTTCTAGTAGTATATTACTGTTGTACTCCGTAACCGGAAAGACCTTGAACTGTTCGATCTGACGTTCTTACTTTTGGGTACCTGTTCTTCTGAGCCCACAATCTCAGTCAGTGACTTTTCAGTGACCGTATGTAAAGAATCTAGCTTGTTGCAGTTTACCGCCTTGTTTTCTTGTATCCTTGTTAGTAAGAGATTAGCTGATTAAAGCCTTAAGTTAAAAGGGCAATCGTCTTCTTTACATAAAAAAAAATAATAATAATCAGCTATCTGGAAACTGATCCGAACAGCAAAAGAATGACTTCATTGGAAACGATTAACCTTCGATAACTTTGTGGCGGCAGTCTTACCACGAGAGGGTCTCGACAAGCTTGAGGTATTGGCGAATTTCGTGTCTCCCGCGATCTTTCAAATATGAAGCAGTCGTTGAAATATTACAAGCTCTTTTTGTGAAGCGAAGAAAAGAGATATCTACCCGTCATATTCTTGACACACGGTACGGGCAGCCTCATTTGAACACTTGACGATTCGGCTCCAAGCTCTCTCTTTGGAAACTCTCCACAAGGACTGTTATTCCCAAAGCGTCACAGCTGCACAAAATATCGCGAAGAGAGTACATGGGACGCTGTTATTACTGGCTTACAGTCTCATTTAATCCACCAGAGATTATTGGAGAGATTTGAAGACCATGCTCGAAGCTCTCAGATCTGAACCGTATACAGTTCCTTCACCATCGGCGAACGCAGCATTCCATCGCACCCCTGCCCTCGCGGCAGAGCAGGACCAGCCAGATCCCAACACGTTAGCTGCAATAGACGTCTGAAGTCTCTAGTTGCTTCTGCTGTGGAAACAATAAGCACCCCCGTTTGAAGTGTCCAGCTCGTCATGTAATTTGCTCAAAGTATCAGACGAGAGGCCAGTAGAAGGGTAGATAGATAGATAGATAGATAGATAGATAGATAGATAGATAGATAGATAGATAGATAGATAGATAGATAGATAGATAGATAGTTAGATAGATAGATAGATAGATAATCTTTATTTGTCCACGGTACAAAATTCGTAAGCTTTAAAAATGCCTAATACTAATATAATAAAAATATTTAAATAAAAAAGCTGCTTTCCACGAATGCCGTGCCTTACAGTTCTTTGAGTAGTCGTTTAAATTGCCCAAGGGACTCTGCTTCCCTTAAGTTACAAGGAAGACTGTTCCAGAGAATGGCGCCACTATAGCTGAAGCTGTTTTTGTAATAGTTTGTGCGCGGTAATGGAACATTGAGTTTATTTTCAGAGTCCCTTAGGTTATATGCGACTTCTCGTCTTTCAAATTTAGAACTAAGATAGTTTGGAGCTAACCCGTGCAGAGACCTGTAAACCATCGTAGCTCTTTGAAATTGTTGCTGGCAAGCTAGGTTTTTCCACCCTAGAAGTTTGAAAAGGTGACCAGCATCTACGTCATAGCTTGAGTAGGTCAAAACACGGGCTGCTCTGTTTTGTAGCTTTTGAACCTTATTCCGTAAGGTTATCCCACAGTTTCCCCAAACAATGTTGCAATAATCAAAGTGTGGCTGTATTAAAGCTTGATATATTAGTTGTAAGGTCGCCTGAGGGACAAGGTGCCTTATTCGTTTTATGGCCCCAATACCAGAAGCGACTTTCTTTGTTACTTTCTCGATATGGCCACTCCAATCAAGTCTGTCATCGATGGTCACTCCAAGTGATTTTGCAGTAGTGACCTGGCTAAATTCAAAATCATTAATTGCAAATGTCGGGGACTCTGTGAGAGTACTTAGCCTCTGCCTAGATCCGATAAGCATAAATTCGGTTTTAGTCATATTTAGAGTAAGTTTGTTTGCTCTCAGCCAATTGTGAACATTTTCTAAATCTTGATTTAGATGCAACTGAATATTGTCTGCATTATCACCTGCGTACGTAAGGTGGGTGTCATCAGCGTACATCCTCGGCTCACAATTTGAAAGACAGTTTGGAAGATCGTTGATGTATAACAGAAATAATAATGGACCTAAAATCGTCTCCTGGGGAACACCACAACTTAATAAACAGCTTTGAGAGAGCGATCCGTTGATGAAGCACATTTGAGTACGATTCTCTAAATACGACTTAAACCATTGGTGCGCGTTACCATATATGCCGTAATTGCTTAATTTTGATAAAAGGATCTCATGGTCAACTGTGTCGAAGGCCTTTTTGAGATCTAAGAAAACAACGGCGTTGATTTTACCGCGGTCAATATTGTACGCCCAAGTGTCCGTGGCCTCAAGGAGAGCCGTGACGGTTGAGTGAATAGCGCGAAAGCCTGATTGATATTTACAGATTATATTGTGCTCTTCTAGGTAGGCATATAATTGATCATAGACGATTCTTTCAAAGACCTTGGCCATAACTGAGATCACCGAAATTGGACGATAATTGTTTAAGTCGTCCCGATCGCCTTGTTTAAAAAGTGGGGTGACCTTTGCGCATTTCCAGTCATCCGGAAATATGCCTTGACTTATTGACTGGTTAAAAATATCACGGATAGAAATGCAAATGAGATCTGCACATTCCCGAATGAGCCTAGCAGATATCTTGTCAAGGCCAGCTGCCTTTGACTTATTTAGACGATTCAAAAGTGAGAGAACTTTATTTTCACTGGTCGGATGGAGCTGAAACCGTTTATCTGTGCCAGTGAGGTACTTTTGATAACCATCACTATTTGAGGAATCAATATTGCTAGCAAGTTCTGGACCGATAGTAGCAAAGTGATTATTAAATTGGTTCGACAGCACAGTTGGATTTGTTATTGATACTCCATTTACTTTCCGAGATGTCACCGATTTTTTCCCAGATTTTCGCGAAGTAAGTTCATTGATGGTCTGCCTGGTCTTTTTAGAATCGCCCGTATGCTTGTTAAAACTATTTTGATAATAGGCTTGCTTGACTAATCTGATTTCGCTATTTACTATATTGCGTTGTTTTTTAAAAAGTGACCAGTCATTTGAATCATTCGATTTACTTGCTTTAATCTTTAGAATATCCCGATCATGCATTCGTTTCTTAAGCTGAGATGTAATCCATGGGGAACTACGCGTGCGAACACGCATTGTCCTCAAGGGAGCATGCTTGTTAACAATAGATAGAAACGAGCATTTCCATTGTAGCCACATTTGATTGGGATCAGTTGAATTGTATATGTGATCCCAACAATGAGATGCAATATCATTCCGAAAATTTATTCGATTAAATTTTCGAAAGTTTCTGTAGGTTATAGCATTGTGCCCACCAGACATTCCATTCACGGATAATTTTCGATAGGCAAAAACTATGCTATGATCGCTAATACTGATATGACGAACCCCCGAACACACAACTTTATCTGGACAATTAGTATAGATTACATCAATCAAAGTTGCAGAAGTCGGAGTTATTCTGGTTGGTTCAGTGATAAGTTGCTGTAGACCATAAATATCAGTGATACTCATTAATTTGCATGTATTATTGTCATATCGAGTAGCAATCACGTCGCAGTTAAGGTCTCCCATTAGAAAATATTCAATATTTTCGGAATCGAGTTTCCCAATTAAAGTTTTGAAAGGTGAAAAAATACCAACAGGAGAATCAGGTGGTCTATACCACGTGGCAACAACAAACGGTTTAGATCTAGGTTTTTGAATTTCCAGACATAGATTTTCAAGATTGTCCATGTTTAAATCATTTCGTATGGTAAAATTTATTGAACTTTTCA